ATGGACACTGGGAAGAGGTAACTATGGGGAGGAAGTGGGAGGGGAGCTGTTGCATTGTGGTAAACTGTGGTCAATGACATGAGACAAAGTAATGTGAACTGCTGTATGGAAAGTGAATTTGCTCTGTAAATCTTCACCCAAATCACAATACACACACACACACACAAACACAAAAAATGTGAGGTACTGTTCCAAATTTTTCTACCATTCTAGCAGGATCTGTCTATTGTGCTCCTGATCAGAAGGGTGGGGAATGCTAACAGGGCACCATCTAGGTCCTCTGCTCTCAGGGTCGATGAGGTCATGGTTCACATGGCCCATCAGCCCGCAGACTGGTTTCTTCCTCCTGTTTTTTCCTCTTCTTTCTCTTTTGCTCTGGATGAGTTGAGACCAATAATGACTATACCTTAGCTGGCCATTCACAAGCTTCTAACAGCACAGATACTACTCACCAACCTAGGATGTAGAACCTAACTTTATGAACCAGCCTTAGCCAGTTGACCAAGATGTCCTATGAGACTGTGGTTCCAGCCCTTCATAGCTCAGAAATCAACCCTAAGAGGTGTTTGGTTACGTCTAAGAGGATCTGTGCCCCCAATGGCTTCATTATACAGCTGAATATACCTGCTACACGTGTCCACTTACACATACTTATATGTACATACCTACACACACCTGCAACACACACAAACACATGTCTGCACATGCAGTTTTCAGTTGTTTTGGCTTTTGTTTCTGTCTCACATATGCCATGGTTATCACCAAGAGGTCCTTCTTTCCTGTGTATTAGCGACATCCCTCACCTTCGTCAAGCTGTGTACACATCACCCTCGTTCCCTGTCACCTGTCCCGTCACCAGGAAAAAGTGTCCACTCTCCAGGCAGTGAATCCCTCCCCGGCCATCCTTGGTCACCACGAGTGAAGTTTAGTTCTTGTATCCCTGTTACTTTGTAAGTTAAAGGACTAAGTCTTATAACAGCAAGCCCAGGAGCCCCTGGTGGTATAGCAGTTAATGCATTTGGCTACTAACCAAAAGGTCAGTGGCTCAAACCCACCATCCGCTCCACAGAAGAAAGATAAGTCAGTCTGCTTCTGTAATGACTGACAGCCTTGGAAACCCCATGGGGGTCATTATGAGTCAGAATTGACTCAATGGCAGTGAATTTTTTTTT